TACTCATAAACAAACTGATTACTTCACTTTGTGAATTATAAAATATTGAAAAACAATTGCTTTTCTTAATCCAATTGCATGTCATATATAAATCATAATATAAATCTGTAATCGCCTGCTGATAGCAAGTAAAATAAATACATACTTACAAATGTAGAATATTCTATTTGCTATTCGGCAAGGGATAATATCCAACAGCTATTACAACTGTGATTACAGACTTTTAAAATCCGAATTATATATGAATGTTGTTCTTACACACTCGTGCTGGAAAATTTTAGTCATAATAACAAGTTAAGTTGCAAAATATTATATACTTAATATATTGAGTGTTTTTTGTTAAGAAAATATTTGTTGGAATTTATTTTGATAATATTATGACCAAAATTTTATTCGATTGAAACAATTTTTGGTCAGTTGCATGCAATCAGAGTTTTTCACCATTATGATAACAGTAATAAACCATTTGCACAAAAATATGATAGAAATAGTGATCATTAATTAAGCTATCGATCTTTATAGACATTATTACTTGAAGTGTAATAAAAACATCTAAAAATAATAATAATAAATACATCTTATTGGGAAGCCCTATGCAAAAGAAAAAAATCTTGACTAACTATAAATATTGATTCTGATTATTTAATCCTTTCCTTCCTGTGCAAATGGTTTGTGCTAAAGGAAAGATCTATACCAACACTTTTTTATCAAATTATAATTAATTATGTGGATGATGAAATGATTATTATAGAAAAACGCCAACAGTTGCTTTTCATGCCAAAGTATGCAACGTCAGCAATGTTATATGAAACTTAGAACAATTTGATATATGATTGATGTAGTTTCAATACTGGACAATATATGTATAAAAAAAACTATAGATACACTAACCTTGTCTATACTTTCAAATTTAACAAAATTGGAAGCGGACATTTTTGTAGATATTGATTTCTGATCTGTATACAAATTAACATATATTACTTCTTAAATCTACCAGTGAACAGATAATTTAGCAACATTAGTATATTCTTACATGCGGCATGATCAGTCACAAAGTTTATGTTTAAGAAGAAATTAAGGTTTTACCCACAGAACCATAATTTCAATCGGTAATCACAAACCATGTAAAAGGTCTAATAGAGATATTATTCATGTAAAAGACGACCTTAAGGTCTAATAAAGACGTATTGATTGCACCGCATGAAACCATCTCCAGAACACACAATCGAAGCATATTCTAAATCAGATTACTATGTTATGTGAATCCAAAAAGTCTAGTTTCAGAAATATTCCTCATTAATAATGATATGTGCACGAAAGGTAATTATTCTTATCTTTTAAATAACTGTAATTAAATATCTAGTATTAAAATTATAATATATATCGACTAACTACAACATTTGAACATGCGTTTCATTAAGAAAATGATTATAGTAAGTTATTGAGCTTAATTTAAATTATATTTTAAATGAGTATTTTAATGCAAATACTTGTGTGACATTGTAGTATACACGTGTTTATACAGGGTATCCTAGAACTCAACGTCAAAGGTAACAGGTCAGTATTGATTGTAACTATCATGAAAAAAAATAGAAAAAAAATCTCATGCAGTTTAAACATACTGAGCTTTGAAGTACAACCTAGATCTGTAACCATTTTTCGGTTATTGTGGTTATTTTTAGTCAACTTTGGAACCAGAACCGTGAATAACATTTAAAAAGCCACAGCCAAAAATAATAACACAATTGGTGCACGTTTTCTAGAATCAGACTATTTGTTAAACTACGAATTTAAATTTAATGTTTTCAAAATTGATCGATTTTGAAAGAACCTCCTCTTAAAAACATGTGCTAAAGTATGTTGTCAAGTTCCATCAAAATTTTTGCGCATTTTATCAGAATTGTAAAATAGTGAAATCCTTGAAAGTTTTATAATATAAAAATTCGAGTAAAAAATAAAATTCATTCTATTCACAATCAGTAATTATTTTTTTTATTATAAAACTATTAAATATTTTACCATTTTACAATCCTGATTAAATACGCAAACTTACCAATATACTTTAATTCATTTTTTTTAAAAGGGAGTTTTTCAAGGTTGATTGAATATATAAATTCACAAAAAGTCGTAATTCTTGAAAACTCAGGACAATTGTGTAATTATTTTTAACAGTGGTCCTGGAAATATTATTTACGATTACAACTCCAAAGCTGAAATAAACAAAATTAATATAAACTAACCACGATAACAAAAAAACATGGTCATAGTTTGACCAAAGCTCTAGGTTGCACTTAAAATCCCACAATCTTTAAACCGCATAAGATTCATTTCTTCTAACATTTTTCATGATAGTTACAAAACAATACTATCACTCCGTTTCAGCTGAACGTTGATTTCTGGGACACCCCGTTATGCCTAAGAAGAAATATCGTATTTGAAAACCAAGAAAAAATATTCCATCTGATATATTGAAAAGAATAGCTAAAGCGATAGATTTACAAACCTGCAGAGCACATAAAATCCACAAAAAAGCATATACTACATTATTCAAGGAATTCAACAATCATCATTGCAAAATTGAACATAACGTCCATCACCAGATTGATTAACCGAATTAATTCTGGATAAAACAGGTCAAAAGTGTGTTGAAAAAATGACGAGAGACAAAATTGTCTATAGTACTGAATATCAAAATATTTTATACCGATTTATAGCTTGTATAACAGATGTTAGTTAGGACAATGTTTGTTGTAGGAAATAATTATTGTTTTGTATCTGGATGTAGTCTGAAATATTATAGTAAGAGTTGAGGTGATAGAAGTAAATTGGTGTGAAAAAGTGGTCCACAGATAAAGAAGATACCAAGTATGAATACATGATGTATAAGAATAACATATAAAATGGTGTTACTGGTATAAAATATTTTGTAAAATTTCAGACTGAATAAACAGTCCTTCAAATCAAAATTTTAAAGTCGACAACAAATCAATCATTTTCTAGTAACAAGTTCATCAACCCTCAACTAGTTCGTAAGAGAAATAATAATTACTCGAACACACTCCATCCTGATTTAATTAGCAATTAATGTGATAGAAGCTTACTAAACTGTTGTTGATCAAAACACACAAATGGTGATATTAATTTGTAGGCATGGATATTACACATACACTAGGCATCATCAATATAATAAGAATATATTGTATTATTAATTTTGACAAACATACCGTTTTCGTTTTACAGTCGTTCATATCAAGTCTGTACGACATGTCACCCGGATTTAAAACTCAGTTTTAGGTGACCTGAGAAATATAAATAAATAATAATAATACGAGTTTCTAGCGGTACCATAGGATAGACCAGTCTTCAAAAGACAACACAAATAAATATCTATGTACAAGTATTGCACATTTTACCGAATACGAATATTATATTTATCCATTTTCAACTCAACACTGACTGAACAAACACTCTATATTGCTTCAAATCTTGATTAAATGAGGGTGACCATTGCAAAACTATTTACCCTATTGATCAAAACGTTTTAAGAGAATCAACTATCGTCTGAATAAATCGGACCATGTGTAAATCTATCTAACAATTTAAAAGAAATAACTGACTACATGTAAAATTCAATGCTAAAATTTGCGATGTAGATCTTTTATTCTGAACTGTGTTGTTAATTACATTGAACTTAAAAAAATAGGGTAGGCATTTATGATGAAATTAATAATCTAATCCACCACAATTCTTTCTCTCTAAAAAGTATATAATTTTGATAATTATGAAGCCAATTTTTATTAACAAATGCGAGATTTCTACAGATGGTCACCAACATCTCTTTGTACATGAACAGAGCAATATTTCAAAACAATTGTGCAAGATAATTGTAGAAAGTCAAATTATGAAAAATAAATATACTAATAATATATACAAAAAAATATTATGCCGTTGCGTACATTACACTAGCCTTTATTTTCAACTTATTTTTGACTAGACTTATATTAAAAACTTTTTTCCAAAACAATCACCTTACACAATTGTTATGATGGTTAAATTTAGAACCGACAAACTTACAGAAAGTATTGAAATCAAAAGTTGAAATCGGATAAAAGGCGATTCCACATATCATGGATTACATGGAAGATACTGATGCTGATGTCAAATCGCCTTTATCAAATATTAGTCTAACGTTTTACGTAGATTTTTGCTTATTTCTATACTTAAAATTAATGCTTGCAAATGAATGAAAACCATAATTTTGACAATAGGAAACCTAAAGAATGCTCTTAAATAATTTTCACGAATGGTTAATTAATAAATTTCGACGCCAAGAATCCGTGATACAATTTGGAAAATAAAAATTGAAAAAAGATCCAACTGCTTTAAAACAAAAATGCCAAAAAATCCAATATCAAATATTTTATAAAAGTTTTGGTTATTTCAAAGAAATAAAACATAAGAAACGAGATTAATTGATAAATCAAATTATATGTATTACGTATTAAGAACATGAAGATAACTCGCTTCCAAAAAGTGCGTTAGCGTCCTAAGTCATCATTTCGTGAAAAAATTAGTTCTTATTAGAATCTGATTTATTAATCAGATTTAAATCGTATAACTTCCATAATTAAATTATTTAAGAATTGAGTAGATTTTTCTAATTTTCAGTTTTGGAATGTTTGTTTCGGATAGCAATAGCTGGATGATTTTCTTAAATAATATTCTGACAGTTTCGCAAGCATGAGAATTACATAAGCACTATAAATAATTTTTAGTTTCAATGCACGAATTTTGAATACTCCTTACACCTTGAAAAGAAACTCAAAGCTTCTAGAAATGTATCTAGTTCAAAGGTTGTATCACGAAGTCTTCAACGTCTGAACGCCAACTTAAACCTAAATTGTTTACTGTTGAACGAACAACAAACAAGAATGAAAAACATATAACGTGACCTTGTTCTTGTTTCCTTCGTGAACGCACTAAAGAACGAACATTGAAGTTCTCTTCGTTTTCTTCAAGGGTGCTGAAGCAACCAGACTGGTGATCACCTGAACCTCGGAGGTAACATAGATAACATAGGCAGCTGACCTCCAGGTAACACTGTGAACAGACCTGCTGGAGCAGCTAACATGCCCTGATGTGGCAATGATGCGAAGACACCACCTGGTGCACCTGTCGATCACAAAATAAACGAATCGTGAAAGTAATTTATATCAATACAAGAGTTTTGCATGCCGCCGTGACCGCACAACCGTAACGGTCATTCGACCTTATTTTAGCGCATTTAAGGAAATTTTGAACCCTCAAACCAGCTCACAAAACAAAAATCAAATATACGCAATAATAACAAATATATTGAAGAAATGAAAAAATCGATTTATTTTGATATTAAAAATTGATCTTTTAAAAAAATGGCAGAAATCCAAAGTTTTTATTCTGATGCAGGTCAAAATTTCCCATTCGATACGCTCGTATAGGGCAAATATTAGGTTAATTATTATGTGTTTATACATGTATGTTATGTACTTATGAATACACACAATGTATATGTATGCATAAGCATACACAATCCCTTCAACATATATTGAGTGTGTATATATGTACATATATATTGCAATATTCGAGTAGTGTCATTCATCTAAAGCCAGCAGCCCATATGATTGTACCGAATGTGCATTTCAATATTCTATGTAACCCCTACTTGAATGAAGCAGATTTCATTGATATTCCCAGAGTTCATAAGTAGTAAAGATTATACCATACACATGCTTATGAACGCCTTTATGGTTAGTTTGAAGCACGATTTATTCACCAGATTGGTTTGAGATAAGATAAAAGTAACTTATTCTAAAAGCTCACTTTGTTAGATTTTATACACAACCCGCAAGAAAAAAAAGCATACTTCTCGGATAAGTTCATAAATAATTCATTCTGTACTAACCCAAAATCAAATTATTGAAGAAACAGAACAAGTTTTACCTCCATGTTAACCTTACGTATTGAAAATAGCAACACTTATTTAACATGATTTTTTAAATAGAATATATATTTAAAAAAGTAGAATATTTCAAGTCAACAAAAAAGTTTATAAAATAAATTTACTTCTGATAAATTAGAAAAAAGTGTAATAGAGTGCTTAATGTCTTTACAATTCGATGTACAATATATAGGCTGTCTCATAACAATCACTAAAATGAATAATCATAAAACATATATCAATAATAATTTTATATTAAATAATACAAAGCGAAATATGTGTGTCATCAGCTTGCTCAGACGAGAAATAGATTACCTTACATAATTGGATTAAAATGGTAAAAAATGTACGTAAGATTATCATCGCCTTATTTAGAAAAACAAATACAGACACACTACAGAGTGAGTGCCAACACCAATGTCATATGAAAAATAGAATACCTACCTTTACAAATGATTGAATGACATATATTTTAAATCATGCACAAATTCGCATGAGTTATTTTTAAAATACATATCTGCATTTAAATATGGTTAGGAACATGATTTCAAATATAAGATAACAAACATAGTAGTGTACTTAGGTAAATACAAAATATCAAATATATTTTATTACTTAGGGCCCATAACAAATCGAGACATCAATGCCTTTCACCTACTGCAGAAACTAAATTGACTGCTCACTGTCAATAAGGAAAAACCAAAATAAACAGTATACTAAAAAATTTCTTAAAAAACATACAGAAGCAATCAACAAACATGCTAAACATGATACTAATTTGTATATATATTATCAGAAATAAGAATACACCCCACGCAAACTGATCAACGCAAACATTCTAAAGCTCAAATCGAACGATAGAAAGGAATTTAGGATCAAAATTGATTTGTGATCCAAGACCACAGATACTTAGTAATCTCATATTTAAATCCTCAAAAAACTTTACATTAAATGGATGTGTCTTCTAAAGTCATATTATTATATATGTACTGATAAAAAAAATAATTCACAAAAACCAAAATTCAACTAATGGTTGAAAATTAAAACTTTGAAAACAAATGTCTCCACATTAACACGAATGCCATTTTTCAAAATCAATATAGTTTGACTGTCTATATCATTTTGATGTTTTATAAAAAACTCAAATTATTAATTGTAACATAATACAGCATTAATATTAATAAGATTACTGAGTATCTTTCAATTTGTGGCCTTATAGAATATTATTCAACAATTTGTGCTACTTCCGTGATAGCGTATGATTTGAGCATAAGACAGCAGCTAATTCAAAAGTAATTTGGTTACCATTAATCGCAGGATCGAATTTGCAACAGACAGGTTGCGATTAAATCTAAATTGTGTTGCATACCCAAATATTACGTCGTAATATTTTTTTCTTTAAATCTTGTGCCCTCTGATGAATGATGTTCATATACGTCTATAATGATAAAATATAATCCAACAGTATAGGTAAACGCGATTCAAGTATAAAGAACCTAATTTAATATTAGGTACCATCAAAATATACTACTGTGCTATATTAAACACTAATGCCAGATTTTCTTTTTTGAATTTATTGTTGTTATTTGATATTTTCAGTAGAAGTCATATGAAAATTATATCATGCTGTCATTTGTTTTTACATATTGTATTTAGATTAATTTTAAAAAATAATATTTATACCCATATGGCCACATGTGAATACGATGTAATCATAATCCAAACATGAGAAAAAATGATATTTTATCCCATGCATTTTGAATTTTAATGATTAAAAAAAATTGAATTTGTATAAAATTATGAATATGAAATCTACAATCATTCTCACTACTTTATTACTCTCCATTTGTACTTGCATGTGAAATGAATATTTTAAACTAATGGGATACCAATTCAACCGTTTCTATTGTTGCTCAAAAACTCACTTGGTGTAATAAATATAATGTTAAAAGCATAACGAGTATGTTTATGATTTGAATTGGTATGAAATAACCATTGCAACTACAAATAGAACATGAAAATTAAATTTACTTATTGAAAAATAAAAACCTATTTATTTCAAAACTTGCAAATTTATATAGGCATTAATGTTATTTTTTACTCTATTTCAAGTTGCAATGTCATGTGTTGTTAGTCCATCTTCCAAATAATAAAATAAAATCTATATTATAATAGTGATAGAAAATAATATATCACGCATACCTTTATAAATCATCTATAAATTTATAAACCTAAAAATTAAAATCATTAATTTGATTGCATAGAATCATAATACTTATGATAATATGAATTATATATTAAATATATCTATGAGATGTAAGAATAAATGCAACAAAAAAGGATAGAATATTTTTTGTCAAAAAGTAAAAAAATAAATTTGAAGTAACAATTATTTTTAGAACAAAACTATGTGTAGTAAATTATTCGCAAAAAGTAGTAATGTTTAAAACAATATTATATTAAATGAGTTGAAACTGAGGAAAAACATATTGGAATAGAATATTATATACTGAATTTGTTTTCTAATTTTATAATATACATCACTACTATAGTCAAATCGAGGTATCAAAAATAAGAGAACTTTAGGAGTAAGACAAAAATTGAAATATTTTTGATGTATCACAAAATCAGTTATCAGTTATTAACAGCAAATTCTTTTAAATGCTTTATATATATATATATATATATATATATATATATATATATATATATATATATAACTATTTTCGATTAACAATTAAATGGTATGACTTAATTATTTCCCAATTTTAATGAGTAACTTTTTGAATTCCATAAATAAACAAAAATTTTGATAAAATGTAAAATGATTAAACTATATATGACTGTATTCATGTCACATTAGCTATTATTAGTAAATTGGAAATGCTAATAAATTTACATATTTAATTATATCAAAATATCAAGATGTTTTGTATATATCAAAAGATATTATATAAAATCCATAAAAATTGATAAAAAAAACTAAAAAGTAAATTTAAAAAAAAATGAATTGTAATTTTTTCCTGTAGTATTGATTCTGAAACATGAAATTTACTTTTATACTTATAACAGAAATTGCATAATAAACATTCATGATCATCCCAATATCCCTATAGAAAATCAATATCCCTAGACAAAATTAAATATCAACAAACGGCCAACTTACCTGGTGTAAGGTTCAGTTGCGGCCGCATGACGTTTAGGTTACCTCCAATATATGTAGGCCTGAACATTGGCTGTCCATGAACAAGAGCCATACTCACAGGAGGGCCTAAAACAGACTGTGGAAGTCCACCAACCGGCACGTGTGCTACACCAATGGGTCTAAGTTGTGCTTGTTGTTGTTGCTGAACGGCCACAGCTGCAGCAGCCGCAGCTTGATGGGCCGCTGCTGCCTGTTGAACAGCTTGCACATGCTGCTGCACTTGTGCCATCTAAACCATATAATAATAAAATTTAAATAGTGATACTAATATTAATGATTTGTAGTTTTTCTTAACAAAATATTAAAATTCAGCTTACTTGTGCAGCCTGGGCTGCTTGAACTTGGGCTTGCACATGCGCCTGAGCTTGTGCTTGCACTTGCGCTTGGACCTGAGCCTGCACTTGTGCTTGTACTTGCGCCTGTACCTGCGCTTGTTTAATTCGTTGTTGCTGTTGTATCATAAGGGCAAAGTTTAAAGAATCTTCATTTTGTTTTTGAGCAATGGACAGAGCTAGAGCAGATGATGTAGGTGTTATAACCTGAAAAGTCCAGGAAGAAATCTTAAATTTTTATTCAAAAAATTTTGTTTATGTTTCAGTTATAAGTGAAATAAAGCAGATTCAATTAGCAACTATATATCGTACTTTTAATAAGTAAGAAATGATGCTTAAAGTAACTTCTCATGAAGACAATCTCCAAATTAGGGTTTCCTTAATTCACATGAATTAAAACAACAGTACTTACTTTTTAAAAATACGATTTAATTATAAAATTATTTTCAAATACATAAAAATGAACATCAACAGTTACAATAAATAACTATGTAGTAGATTCCCGAAAAAAAATGAAATTTAAAACTAAATATAAAAGATAAGTCAATATATTACCACACATTAAAATTATCACCTTATTCTTAGAACCATGATTATTGATTAAATTAATGTGTGTGCTCATAAATTATTTGTATTACAACTTTTGTCAAGGTCTTTTTGATATTTAATTTAAAACCTAAAGACTAGTTTGAAAAATTTGTAATATCATACATGCTCCAAAAATTCAACATAACAATTCTAATCAAAAGATTATTTACAAAACGAAATAATTTTTAATACCATTATTTACAAATATCAAACAATTATTACAATCTATTCTTTTACAAACACACAAACCTCGAATACATTTATACATATGCATCAATTTTATAAATCAATAATCATGAATCAAAATGACAGTAATTTATACACTAGGTATTTATGTATTTTTTAATAATTCCATTTTCTTCCATATTTCTGTACCTCTGATTGTGGGGGCAACATAGCTGGTGACGCTTTTTCCTTCGCTGCATTTGCTGCCTCAATCATTTTCTGATATTTAGGTAACCTGGCCCTCAGCTCTTCTAGAGATAGATCTTCTGAAGGGTGCATTATTTTGCTGGTTGAGCCAGAAGTCGTTATTACATTTTTAGTACAACTTGTAGATGATTCACTGGTTGTCACTGGGTTGGCATTATTTGTTGTGGGGGGTGCACTAATAACTGCATTGCTGAAATTAGATAAATGTAACATTTATTAAAAAACTATTCAGATTGAAACAATGAAAAAACCTAAACATAATTTATAGGTATAAAATACCTCAATAATTCATTAGTATTTGTTTCAAAAATTAATTAAAATGTATATAACATTGTTTTAATGAACTGCAATTAGATTCAATCAATATTCAAAATACTCAACATATACTTTAGTAAAATTGCTAATAGTGGAAACTATGTTCTACGTAATTGAAGATAAAATGCAAATATAACATAAAAATATATTTGTGTTTGAATTATAATTACCTATAAGCAGGGAAGGTAGGTTTTGCAACTGTAGTTGCCGATGTGGCAGGTTTTGAGTCACTGGCTGCTGCAGCAGGTGAACTGCTGGGAGGTGGTGCCCCTACACCAGGAAACAGTGGCCTTGTAGACATAGCCATAGGCCCACCAGGACCCATCATATGTGGCGGTAATATAGAAGGCATCCTGGTTAAACATGCAATACTTATATTAATCTTATATATTTATTTATTTGTAATTTTAATAAACAAATTTTCAATTGAAGTATAATCTAATAAAAAAGACAGACAAAAAAATGTATAAATTGTCTGGAATGAATGGTTAAGTCCTTCATAAAAGTAGCAACATTCTTAAAAGATTATTTTCTACTTCATACCCAGGCGGTCCAGCCATAAATGGAGGCATGTGTCCCATAGGTCCCATCGGCCCCATCATATGTGGTGCCATTGGGTGAAATTGACCCATCATATGTGGTGGTGGGCCAGGCATCATGCCCGGTGCCATCATTCCAGGATGAGGTAGCATATGTGGAGGTAATATTGGTGGGGCACCTGGTGGTGCATTGCCTAAGAGACCCGGAGTTATTTCAGGCTTGCCCTTTTTTGTTGCTGGCTCGTCATCTTCACTGTCTGACCCTCGACCATTTCCTGTAAAATAATAGTCAGAAATATTAGTAAAATGACATTTTAGTATGTAGTCTATTATATAAAGGATTTTTACACATACATTAAACTATATACCACTCGATTATAAACTTAAGATGAATAAAATTTTAATAAAACAATTAGTAAGGTAACAAAAAATGTTTGCTCATGATTTTTTCTATAATGTGATTATGACCATATGTTGAGTTTGGTTTGAAACAAACTCAATCGTTTAGAAAGATAAATATCACATTTATTTCAGACATTTTAATGTATATACTATAAAATAATGGTATCATTGATGTGATATTTAATGATTGACATCTTTATGTGAAATAGATAGAAGATAACTCGATAAAATATACCTTTTTGTCTCTCATGCTCTTTAAGATCAGCAGGCGGAATGCCTTCCATACCATATATTTCTACTTCAATATTTGATCTATTCGGTAATGAATTTGGTACTTTGTCGATTGCATCTTTGTGAACTTGCATACAATGAATTGATAACCCAGGGCCAGTATATAATTTTTTGTGGCAAATGTGACATTTGAAGTGTTTTGCTTTTTGATGTTGAATAAGAATTTTTTCATCGTCGAACTCCCGATTGCAGTACCTATATTACTATTAAGGAAAATACTATCCTGGGAAACAAATATTAGAGGAAGGTAATAAAAAAATCGATGAAAAGGATACCAGCACCAAGGCTTTGACAGCTTCTTCTTTTTGCGACCCATATTATATATAAAACTACACTAGATTAAACAATAACAAATCTCTTTAGTGACAGAATTACTATTTCTGTAAATATAGCCCTTTATTTACTCTTTAAAAACCAGCATAGTAGATAATTAGTCAAACTATCTATAAAATGGCGTCCATATCCCACAAGTAGTAACATGTACGTCAATGTACCGACAGATGGACAGATGGAAGCAAACAGTGTTGCCATATATACATTTTAGGTAAATCAGCCGTTAAAGTTTGAAATTAAAAAATATATATATATTTTCTAAATTTTGATTCAAATTTGATTTAACTAAATCTAGACAATCTATCCATAATCACACACACACACATATATATATACCCTAGACCCTAGAAATTTCCGTTTTCTCAACTTTAAAATTTCAGATTAACTTTTATATTAGATATGTAGATGACACTTTTTTTTATCATTAACAAAAATCATATAAACACAATACTAGATCTATTCAATAACTTTAACAATAATATAACTTTCACACATGAACTACAAAATAATAACAGATTTAATTTCTTGGATGTATCCGTTTACAATACTAACAACATTATTCGAACAAATTGGTATAGTTTGTTAATTGGTATAGTGATAAATATTATTACCATATTTGGAAAATCACTCCGATAAGCTAAATTACCAATACTATTCATATGTGCAAAGATATGGTAGTAAAGGTCGTGAATATTATCATTGGGCAGCTTCTTCTTCAGTCTGAAATTGGTGTCTCAAGAAGGTATTCTTGTTTACTTTTTTATCTTATTACATGTCAAATCGTCATCTGGCAACCTGTTAACTTGCCAACCTATCTAACTGTTTATCTTCCTATTTTTCTACCTGTATGCTGTATATCTGTCTATCCTTCAACATATCTACCTCTCTACTTGTCTATCTGTCTACCTGCATACCTGTCATTCATTGATGAAAGAAGAGTATATGCTGTCAACTGAGTATCAATATATCTACATGTATATAAATCAATAATAACAATGTAATTTTTTAAACTTTTTTCATGCAACTCCGAAATTTCTGCACCTGCCTTAGTAAAAATGTAATCAAGTTTTCACTAAGTCAATACAAGTAAATTGACCTTTTTTGCACTCTTTTGCTTTGTATTTCCGAAACGTCTTCTCCAAAAACTGATCAACACGTTTCCTCAAAAATTTGTATCCAAATATACTACATACACACACATACAACCATTTTTTCTAAGGTATGCCAAAATGTCCAGAAACCTTTGATTTTTTTTGCGCTTACCATAACTTACTTTAGGGAAAGTTAAACACATCTTTATGCATACATGTTTTTTTGGTATATTTACTAATATAAAACAAATCAGTACTTTCTTAAAATATTTGCCATTAATGCAACACATATAAAAAAGTAACATGCAGGTTCAACAGAAAACCCAACCCAGTGATGCAAGATTTGAAATAATTACAATAAAATAGAGCCATCAAAACAAAACCATTTAATAATCTAATATTATTATGAGTTTTTCTTTTAAATCTAATTGTAAAAACATTTTATACTCATTCGAGTTTCCACAGCATGTAGTCTTATTTTTCACAATATGCGGTCTAATGTGAACAAGACTTAGCTCTCGCGATTTAACCGGGAAGCGCAATGTATTTTTATTGACTGGACATTGTCCTGCGCTGGAGAAAGAAAATCTCACATGAAATACGGAAAAAAACAATTGAAAAATAAAGGAAATCACATATCAAGCTATTTTTATATACATAAACGAAATTATGTCAATGGAATTTCCACACACAGTTATTTCTGGAATCACATAATTAACTAAAGGTAAATAAACCAAAGATTGTAAAATAATGATATATAGGGTAGAGCGGAGCTTGAAGGTTCGCGGGTATAAAATTTTACTACCAATATCTCAAAAATAAGTTAAATTTTAAATTTTTAATAACAATATTTGTAAATAGAGGCAAAAAGATGTATAACCATCCAACACGACCTTGATTCTTACGACGTTGCTATCAGGCGATAAAAAGAAATGTTTGAAAATCCATAACAAAAGTATTTGCTTTCGTTGCTAGTTTGTTTGGTAATGAGCACTATTGTTTAATGTACAAGACCCTGATATAATTTTTAAGTTATTTTATTGTTTTATGGGATGTATTGATAATTTTAAGTTAGATTCAACAGTTTTTTAACATGCCCTCTATACAAATGTAAGTGAGTAGAGTGAAAAGGACGAACTGACCCTTTGCCCTGGCAAAGGTATTAAGAATAAGAAATAGTAAATATGAAGTAAATTAAGCTTAAAAAGCAATTTTACAAAAAAAAAATTAAATCAATAGTTATACCAACTCTGCTGATAAATTTCTGACGAAATACCAGATCAAGGTTATATACAGTGTATCTCCGTAAAAAAATTACTCATGAAATTTATATTTTGCATTGGTTGCAATGCACTGATATTACGTAAAATCCCTGTAAAAATAAAAATGAGACTTTGAACTTGCTTGACTCCTGGCCGTCCGTTTTAACCGCGGCTTATGGGGTAGAAAAGACCAGTGGACAAATTTTTGAAAAACAGAAAAACGTACATTTCTATAATGTTGAATTAGCTGGGACGTATGCTTAACTGAGCATAGTCAGATAGTTGTTAGTTTGAAATGTATGACTTGTTTTGATATAATTAGTTTGGTTTTCACGTTGTAATTCTGGTTGGACCTCTGTGCCCCGACCTACCCTATATATATATATATATATATATATATATATATATATATGTTTCAGTTAAAGCTCCTCAAGTTAGCGGTCGTCCTCCAAGCTTTCCATCTATTAAGGTTGATCCGAAGTTTTCTTTATCAAGGCCGCCTGACCCAATATGAACATTAGTGCTCTGTCCGGCACATCTAACTCTATTAACCTTTTCCCACTTTTTTCGACCCGAATACGAGATCACAAATTATTAGATAACAAAATACGGACTAAATACGATGAGTATCTAGGATAATTATTATAAATACGATACAGAAAACCCCAAAGGTTAGTATTTTGTCACCTTAAAATATAGATGTAGATAGAACGGGTAGAAATGAGGACGTACTTATTACAGAAATCAAAGGAAGTAGTGATTTAGTCAGCAGTTTTTAGTTTCTGTACATCATATGCTTAAATTATTTTAATTGACAAATTATAATATCGCATTTGCCCATATAGATATGCTAATACTGAGAATGAAAATATATTTAAGAAATGTGTTCAAACGATTTGGCCTACCCATTTAGTTGCAGCAAAAGATTATTGACTGAATGTATTTGCTATTTCAAAAATGTAGGATGAAGTAACACTAAAAAGTCAGCGGGTGAAAAGGTTCAATGTATTATTTTTAATTATAAAGGAGTTTTGCGAAAAAACAGCTACATTATTCAACAAATGCCAAATATAAATTTCATGGAAACATTTTTCACAGGGACAACACTGTATATAACCTTATAATTTCATTTAAAAAAAGCATCAGCTGACGTGGAATAGATACTTGTTGAACTTATCTTGTTTAGTTAGTCCTTTTTACCCCACCAACATGTGAGGTTTTATCGAGGCTATATATAAAAATGCTGAATCTAACTTCAAATTTGCAATACACAATACAATACATCTTGTCGAAGAATCAATGGTATGACTGATTATACATACTTCCCCTCTACTTTTAAATATTGTTGTTTAAAAAACTTATTAATTTTACTTGTATTTGAGAAATCGGTGGTGGATCTTTTTATCTGCGGACCTTTAACCCTCCGTCATTGAATTTTTGTTTTCACAAATGAAGTATAGAAGTTTTTAACAATACCTACTATTTTAAAGTTAAGAGAAAAATATGTGTGGCCTCAAATCAAATTCATTTGCAATTTGAAAAATATACATTAGAAATTTATCATTTTATATCTAAAAGTATATTTTTATCTAATTTTAAATTATGAAATTTAAGGTATATGGATACTGCAGAATCATATGAAAAAAACAGCTTTCATATAACCCCTCACTTTGAGGTAAACTCATAATTGCCAAAGTTTTGAAACGCATTTAAAACCGTTACATCAAATTTTCGTTTGATGGATGCTCTAAAAACTTTTCTTATAGAGTTATAGTGAAAATTTGTAATATATGTAGTTTTTATTAGATTATTTTGTGCTTTCAAATAGTTTTATCGAATTTCAGAAGGAAATGTGGGAGGCAATTTGTCAAATGCGACTAAATAATAAAAATCCATTATAAATTTGTTAAATATATATGTTAATGCTATTAAACTTTGTACGTAAATGAATAAAATAATAAACTAATTTACGTTTTTGTTCAGAAATCAGAAAAATACTTCCAGTATAATTTGAAGCAAATTTCTGTTTTTAGTATTTAAATTATATTGACCTCAAATGAAATACGAGTCTCCTCTCCATGAAGTGAACTCTTAATTATTATTATTTCTTCTATTCTAACTGTTTTTCACTTAACTTATAAGATTTTATCTTTTTTTTTTTACTCACAATAGCTTATAAGATTTTATTGCATCTTGATTTGGTTTTTAAGGATATGAAGAAAATAATCTGATGCATTGTTTATTAAGTTTAAGGACACTGTGTCTTTGATTCAATTTACTATTTATTATTTTAAATCAAATTTCCAAAATATTTACTGTAATATTTAAAAAATCCTTCATATTTTATCGATCTAGTATAAAATTAAAGTAAAAATAATCTTCGGATTATTTTCCCCGAATTCGAAATGTAGTACGTGATGAGATTATCAGTACAAATACTGCATAGGAGCTTAAGAGAGTAATAACGTGATCATGAATTTTCCTCAAAATTATACAGGAAAAACCATTATTTGATATTGAATCAAATTGTAAAAGTATAATGAAAAAATTATTACATATTCATCATATCAGTTAATTTTTAAGCAACGGAAACAATTTTTGTTTTTCTCTAAATTTTGTTATAAAATTTAACATTTTCTAAACTAAATATTCATACATAATGTGTTTTCTCAAGTATCGATGAAAATAAAATTTAAATTTCAAATTTGTTTAAAAATGTTTTAACGAAAATTGAATGATTTTTGTATATAAAATTTAAAACCGTGGAATATTTTCACTTCATAG